AAACACTGGTCTAGATGATCACGTGGAGCTTATCTGACTTAGATTAGTTGAGGAAAGTGAGTTGGATAAATCAAAACCCAGTTCAGGGGCAGGGAAAGCACCATTCCATGGGATCTGTCCCCACCACCAGGGGACTGGGGTTAAGTGTGTTGTTGGAATGCGCCAGTTTGGTTGGTTAGATTGACTTAAATCCAGCAGCAACAAAATGACTGGGATCCAAATGAAGGGATTGCCCTAAATAGGCTGTCCCATCTGTGGAGTAATTAGGCATTTCACTCTTCCTTGCAAATAATGAAGTCATCAATTCATTACAACATGGGGCTCTTCACAGAGTTCGGGACGCTTCCCAACCTGTCAAAATGCCTGGATTGGAAGCGAAGATCCGGTAGTCCCAAGCGATGTCTGTTCGTTGAATGCAGGCTGTTTTTTCCCAGGGCTATTTCCGGCTGCACCGGGGTTCCAACGCTTGTGGGATTAGAAACTATGCAACCACCGCGATCCTCAACAACCTGGGAAGAAAGAAGCCGGCTGCTTGTCCTCCATGACGGTGTGCGTGGATCTGCGTGTGTTTAACAACAGCTTTGGAGCACTGAGTCCCGTTGCTTTTCATTCTTTTCCAACCTAGCGCTCTCCAGATGTTGTTGGCCTACAGTGACTAGGCCAACTCATTGCCGCTTCCTCATAGTTAATTGGTTTCTTTAAAATGCAGGTTCTCTCGATTTTTCCTGGCTGTTTCTTAATTTTAAAAGCAATCGTTTGATAGTGGTTAACTCCCCTGCCCTCCCCCCACATTTTGGAATTGCCAAGTCAACATTGGGGAATATTGCCCAAATCCCCAGTTTTGTGCAAAATCTTTGTGTAATTGCAATGGAGCCCGGCTATTTTGTGTCTGTGCCTGCATGTACGTAGGTGTGTGAAATGGGGGAAAGGAATATTTCAAGGATAGGCAGATGGAAGTGGAATAGCATCCACAGACAGAGTTTGCTCTATCAGAATGCAGAAGGGAGGTTGTTAAAATACACTGAACAGTGTTAGTAATGTTCCTACCAAATTAATAAAAAGGGAACTAATTGAAACAGACACATTTCTTTCGATTCTGGAATTCCAATCACCTCTCATTATGTACGGACTACAAAAAAACTCCATCCCCACATTTGTGTCTCTCTCCATCTTCACTCTGCCCCTTTTGGCTGTGAAAGAAATCATTCTGCATTCTTGGTTTCGCCTTGCTGCCCATGCATTTTCTATTCCGATGAGAGTTGCGCTGATGTTTTTTCACACCTCAAAAGTCACAAGGCGTTTCAAGGCTTAGCATCTTTAATTTTTATGCTTTGTTCTTGGTTTTCTTTCATTTCCACCACGTGCCCCAACTCAGTGTGGTTGGTTGACCTGTCATGCCTCCCCCCACGCTCTGTGTCTTTAAGTTATATGTGTCACCGTTGGGGGAAAAAAGCAATAATATATTTTGCACAGACAGAACATGCCCAAGTCTGAGGCAGCTAGGCCTAACAGGAAGAAACTGTATTCTCAAGGTACACCAACTGGTTATTTTTGCACCTCAATTAATTGGAAATGAAAAACTATTGTGATGTTCAACATGCCTAACCAGAGCAGTGTAAAAACTAGCAGCTGCATTCCCACAACTTGCTCAGCTTGGTTATTGTGGCTTAGTGTACAGGTAGTCCCCGGGTTAAGAATGCCCGGGTTACAGACGACCCATAGTTAAGAACGGAGCCTACTGTAGCAACATTTGAGTTAAATCCACAATGATTCGAGTTAAATCCACGATAGTTCGAGTTCATTACACAATACTGCTTAATACGGTATTATGCAATAAGACTGTTCTGGCTTACATATAAATTGGACTTAAGGATAGACTTTGGGAAAGGAACTTGTTCTTATACTGGGGACTACCTGTTACTGAATGAACCCAACCGGGTTGGTTAATTTATGAATCAGTGTCTTTTTGCTGCTGCATAAAAGCTGGTTTAGGACAGACACTGAGTGTGTCATGCAAACCCAGCCTCTGGTTGTGCTCTGCTTAGGAACTGCAGGAGGCACAGCTGGCAAGGTTGGGGAATTCTGGGAGTTGAAGTCCACCCATCTTAAAGTTGCCAGGTTTGAGAAACACTGCCTTAAAGCCTCTCCAACTACCTCAAAGGAAAAACAGGTCTGAAAATCCAACTCCATTTTATTGGGGAGGGCACAGGCAGGTTGCCCATCCTTGTCCTAGAACCATCTGATCTTCTTGAATATCTTTGCAAGCTGACAGCAATGCCACTTTTAAGGCAACGACCCGTGGACTGTTCTTGAGGTCCCGGTCACAAAACTGACTTTTGGGATCAGCTTTGAAGGGGTTGAAAAAGGTGGGGGAGGTGGGCTGGATAAAGGCAGAGAATGCAAGAAAAGCAGATGCTTCTTGAGAACAGAAATTAAGTCTTTTCTCATAAACCAGGCTGTTACTGTTAGGAAGAATATTACTGTCAGCTTTGTGTTCACACCTCGTTGCTCAAAGGGTGTAAATAAAAAACCCACAAAGATGGAGAGAATCTGCCAGGCATTTGATGCATGCTGTTCCTCTTGTTGCAAAAAAAAAGGACCCGCTCTACAAAACTGGAAGGGAAGAGGGGAAAAAAAGCTTTAAGTGCAGATGGCAGAAATCGCCACCTTGCTAGAGCAGAGGCAGAGAGCTTTGCTTTCAGGAAGCGGGAGGAAGGGCACCTGGCATGTAAAACTGGTTTTAAAAAGCACAAGGCTGGAACTTGTTCCATGTGGTAAACCTGGCAAGAGCTGGGCTTAAGAGTTGAACGCTACTCTATTCAGGAAAGTATAGCCAAGGGAAGTTATCTTGCACATCCGTTTGTTTCTGTAAAGAGGGAATGTCACTTTTCTTTAGACTGGAGAATAAATACAATTTATTGGGCTGTTCCGGCCTCCCAACACTGCACCGCTATTTGGTAGCTCCAAGCCTGCTAATTCTAACCTGGCTGATCCGGTGGCTGTCTCAGGATGTGGGTTGCTCCTTAGCAGGAGATGGGAATGTCCTTCTCACGTTTGGGGAAGAAACTACTCGTCCCAGGGTTGGGATTCCTGTCCCCAGTTCCCGGGCGCTGTGCCGAGGCAGTCAAGAGTACTCAGGTCCTCCCTTGGAGGTGGTTCACGCAGCTGCCAAGCCTTCGCTAACGGGCATGCTAATGTGGGCTGTGAGCAGTGGCCGGCTGTTGCCTTCACTCAGCACAAACACCTGCAAGGCAAAGAGACGGCACGGCTGAAGGTCGAGGAGAGGCAAGGGGTGGGTGGGATTCCCGCTGGCAGGATCCCTTGGAACAAAGCTCCTTTGGAGAAAGGGCAATGTCTTGGAGCATTTACGGCAGGCGGACCCTGCACAAAGGAAACTGGGGACCCAGGAAAACAAGCCAGATTTCTCACCACAGCAAAGGGGGGCGGGGAGCTTGGATGGTTCTTTACTCAAAGAGAGGGGAACAGATAGACCATGGGCAGGCTTGATCCCGCACAGCCAAACCTTGAGGCCAGAACCCCAAGGCCGCAGCTCGGGGATTCTGCGTCCTGACGCACAGATACGGCCACCTAGCCCGCAAGGCTGTTGTTGCTGCTGGGTAGGGCTCAAAAGGGCAGGGAGGCAGAGGAGTGAAATGTTGCTTCAAGGGTCCCTCTGATCTATCTGGAGGTGATGGTCAAAAGGAGTAACTCGCTTTCTACAACTAATTATGATCTGCCTTTAAATGTGGACCAGACGTTTCCTATACTTGAGCCTCAACTCAAGATCACTCCTATGAGGGAATCACTTCCGTCCTTCCTCGTACCTTGTTGTAAGCCTCGCCTGACCAATCAGAAACCAAGGTCTCCGTTAGGGCCTGATAAAACCTTGCTGTGTTAGTCCTTGACCACTGGCAGAGAACCTGTGCCAGCCTGCAGGGAGGGGCAAATGATGAATGGGTGGCTCCATCTTCACCCAAACGACATGATTTGGGCACTTGCATCAGATGTCAGGACACAAGTGCATAAGGCAGACTTGGGTGACGATGTCATCAAGGCGACATCACCGTTCTGATAATGACATCATCACAAGGGCTTCGTCAAAAGCACCCTGGCATTCTGCCATCATTGTGGCTTGCTGCAGAGGTCACGGCTTGAACCCTGGACCAGACTGTCTGTTCTACCGGTGCCCAATGAGTCTATCATAATCCTGACTTTGGACCACTCAATACCCTGTGAACTTTTGGGGCCCCAGCAGTGCTGGCTTGTGGAGGATGTTGAAGGGCAGGGAACACCTACTCCAGGACACCAACCTTAATAATATCCGAGATCCCTTGGTCGCCGAGACACTCAACAAAGGTGGCCAAAGGATAATTCAGTCCTGGGATCAACATTGGAGCCTGAAAAGAAAGTTGGAGAAAAGAGAAATAAATTTTGTCACTACAACGGCAATAAGAATGGAGATGGGAGAAGGGTTGGATGTGCATCATACATGAGGATAGACTAAAACAGGCCTGGGTGGTTTGTGGTCCAGCATATTAGGAAAACCCAGGCATTTTATTAGCATATGGTATGAACCAGATTATTGTACTGAGATATAATGTGGTTTATTGTGGGGGTGGGGAAGCACATCTGGGAATACTGCAATTGCAGTTTGTTAATCTAAATCTAGGGTTCAGGGTTTCATCAGCCCAGCTCCAGAGGGAACGGGGTGCACTTTAACTGGGAGCCCCCTCTGGCATAGCCAGTAGCTGAAAGTCAGAAGTGACCACTGGTTAGTCTTTGGGTGGGGGGGCTAGGGGAACTGTCTGCAGCCTGGAAATTATCTAGCCAAGACAGGTTTCAGGCCACTCCTGTTATTGGTCCCAGGAATAAGATTTTCAATAACAGGGTGCAGTGAAACTGTGAACATGCAGGAAAGGGCCCTTGAGCCATAGGGAGGATGGTGCAGAGTTACCTTAAAGAAAGGGCGTTCGATGGAATAACGGTTTTCATCATAAACGAAGCAGATGAGAAGGTTTGCCACTGCGCGGTTCTCAGACATGTTCTGGAGGTTAAGACACAGTTTGAAGGTAGGGCCCATGCCCTGCACCTGGAGGAGGAACAGGAGGAGGAGGAGGCATTATATGGGGACAAAATGACCTGGAGGAAGGAGAATAGAACCCCAACAAGGAAGGGTTCTCTCCCTAAGCCCCAAAGGTATCTGCATTTCAACTCTGGAACTGCCAGAGAGAGGGGAAATATTCCTGATTGTTCCAATGCCCCTGAGTTTTCTTTTAGAAATCTCTCCTGGTTCTCATTTGCAGACACGTCCTCTAGCAATCAAAAAGCTTCTAGCGTGTTAATGTGGGATCTCCCTTCACCCCCACTCTTTCCCTGGGTTTCATTTATAGAATGAATCACTTCAAACAAAGCCCCTATCCCTCCTTTATTCCCCCCCATTTTTAAAAAACTTCCCCTCAAGGTCCACAATGGCACTTTCCTCTACGAACCCTGCAAACTTAGATTCTTCTTTCCCAGAATGATCGTATCGCTGAATTCTTTGTGGGAACCTCTTGGGGAAAGCAGATTTCCCCAACCCAGAAGTGGATGCTCTGGACCACAATTCCCATCCTCTTCAGCCAACCAAATCTGCAGCCAGCATGGTTACAGGTGGGGAAAGGCCACTAGCCACTGACCACCCTTTGGCCAGACTCTCCCTGCAGCTTAAACAATATTTATTTATACATGTATTCATCCATGCATCTGTTTATTTCCTCTAATGATGTCCCTGACCATTTTTCATCATTTGCATCCATTTACATGGCTCGATTTATATTAATTCATAGCAGCGGTTCTTAAATTGCCCCTGAGGGGCCATTTTGAGCACATCCTGGGGGTAATTTGTGATTGATGGTGAGTTGAGGATCCAGTTTGGAACTGCTGCTGCAGAGACGCTTGCGTGAAAAACAGAGTCTGGTTTTTTGCGGGGTAATGACATCTGAGACCGGGAAAAGGGGCCAAACAATTTAAGAACCACTGATTTATACTATGCTGCGCTCGAGCCCCTGGACTTGGGTTTGTGGGCTCCAACTTGACATACACGGAAGCAAATCCCACACAAAAAGCTTAATATTACGAGGCAGTTTCATCAATGGTCTCTTTGGTTTCCTCACCACGGCGTTCAACTTGAGTGGTTCCTGCAGGGACTCCGAGACGGGGGTCATGCTGCACTCGAGCGCCCGGACGTAGGCACGGGCCGCCATGAGACGGATGCGGCTGAGGTCTGTCTGAAAGACCTGGTGCATCGCTGGGCAAGGAGAGAAGGGAGAAGAATGAAAGAAAGGCAACTCCTTCCTCACCCATCATCGAAAGGGCCACCACACAGATTGGTCACTTCACGGTGACAGCAGGTGGCTCCTCTGGCCCTGGATCTACCTTATCACAGGATGCAGCCCATTGTGGTTAATTCACCCAGGGCTGAAACCAGCCTCTGCAACGGTGGTGGTGATGATTTGGTTCAGCCTAACCTCTCTGTCCACGATGGGGCTTATGAGTTACACCAAGCCATCGTCTGAGTTATCTAGATTTAGTTTAGGAAGTTGTGCAAATCCAGCTACTGCCTTATTTTTAGTTTTCTTTTCTCTGGCTCAGCAATCTATGGAAACCCTACTATCTGGGTGTCTACTTAAGGCTATGTGTGAACCAGGCCACTCTGGCTTGTTCAGAACAACAAACAAACTGGCTTAGCCCAAAGTCCATTCCCTTTTTGATCTAATGTAAAGGAAATGTTCTATGCCTATTAGTTTGCAGTGAATACTCAGATCCAGGGAGGAGATTCTTACACTTGAAAGTTCCTTGAAAAAGAAAAAAGGCACCTTGCAAATTTTCTGAATTTTTCCATCTCACTGCCTTTAACGTTTTCAGAGCAAACTGCTGTCAGACTTTAAGCCGGGCATGTTCACAAATCTCAATATTCCAGAAACTCAACCCCACGTTCAGGAATTGCATCGCAGCAGCAGCTTCAGAACTCGATGCTGCTAAATACAGGTAGTCCTCGACTTACGACGGCACCTGGGACTGGTATTTATTTATATTTATTGATTTATATTTCAAATTTAGACACCACCCAACTCACAAAGAAGTGACTCTGGGCGGTTTACAATAAAAACAGCAAATAAATATTAGTTAAAATAGAATAAAAACAGTATAAAAAGCCTAATGAAACCAGATACATACATAAATAATCATCTCTTCCAAGATGCTGGTGGCCGAAAAGATATTAACATATGGGAGCATCTTCGCTTAGCAACGGCAATCCTTGCAGTCCCGGTTGCTGTCATTAACTGGTCGTCAAGGCAAGGCAACTTCCTGCCAGTTTCCTACAACCAAGTCAGTGGGGAAGCCAGCAGGAAGTTGCAAGTCTCAGGCGGCTTGCAAGCAGGCGGCAGGCCGGCTGGGTGGGGGAAGGTCGGGGAGGCTGTGTGAGGAGGGTGTGCGAGGACAGTGTGGGGAGGCTCAGGGAGGATGCATGACAGTGTGAGGGAGGCACGGTGAGGGTAGGAGAGGCTGCAGGGGGGTGCAAGTGGCTGGCGCAAAGGGGCTGAGGGAAGGTGTGCAGGAGGAGGAGACTTACCCCAGAGACCTGGGGAAGCTGGCAGGAAAGGTTGCAAATTTTGATCACGTGATTGTGGGGCACTGCAACTGGTTGCCAAGTGTGAACCGGTTGCCAAGAGCCCAGATTGCGATCACATGACCACGGGGGTGCTGGGATGGCCAGAACTCCGAGGACCAGTTGTAACCATGAAAGGTTGCTGAACAAATGGTTGTAAGTTGAGGACTACCTGCAGGCTGTGTTAAGCAGTCAAGCAAGCTGTCCTAGTAGCTGTGGGTTTCTGTCACCAATAGCCCGGCCATACAGGTGAGCCATCTGTCAGGCCTAACATGAGTTTGGATAGTTAAAAGGTGATGGGAATACAACCTAAATCCCAGTATGGTTTGCTTGCTTGGGCCCAGCTGGTTCTGTGAATACAGCTACTGTGTTTTGTCACTGTGTGACTTCCATGAAGAGCGGGGTGGGTGGGGGTGTCACACTTTTTAAGCCACTTGACCTGCTTGGGATAAGCCACAAATCCTGTGGGAGTGATCACAGCCAAACAGGCACTACACCTGTTTGCCTCTTTGGCCAGACTTCCAGGTTTTCTTGCACAGTGACCAAGTGGAGTATCTGAGTTCACACAATACACAAGACTAGGCCTAACATGAGTTTGGATAGTTAAAAGATGATGGGAATGCAACCTTTGCCTTGGCACATCTGGGACATCAGGTTATCCTGTTAAATCCCAGTATGGTTTGCTTGCTTGGGCCCAGCTCGTTCTGTGAATACAGCCACTGTGTTTTGTTAATTCAGGTCAAGGGTTTAGCATGTTGTGTGAACCTTGTTTCTGTTTCTCAAATAAAAGTAAAAAGGTTTTTCTGGACACTGTTGCTCTGCTGCTGTTTCTCTTCCAAGGAAGACAGCTGATCAGCATCTACAGCAGTGTTTCTCAACCTTGGCAGCTTGAAGATGTGTGGACTTCAACTCCCAGA